GAGAGAAAGGGACTCCAGTTCCTGAAAATAAAACCAGGAAGGAGGAAGGCAGCTCAAAGGGGCAGTTTAGGGTCCAGATCCTGACACAGTTGCAACTACTGTCTCGAGAGACAATGTGCAGGTTGCATTATCAATAACAAGAGTAGACAGATTATATGGAGACAAACCTTCACCCAATTCTAAAACAACGGCGATGTAAAATGTCAAATTCAAAGTGAAAATGCCAATAAAAGAATCCACCAAACTAACGTGTCCACCGTGCACACATGTCCCTAGCGGAAAACAAGATTCCAAGTAGAAGCAGTTGTTGATCACTTGCAGCCTCCACTGACCAGAAGAAGGCCTTAAGAGGAGTGAGGAGTCAGCAGTCAATGGCAGTATAGAATAGAGCAGTCAAGGTTTTTCAAACATTGCGAATCAATGTAATCAAAAGAGGTCCTTGAGCATGCCGTCATAAATGTGATGGGTCCAGTAGAATGGAAAATTACCTGTGGACAGATACACACACAGACACACACACGACCAAATGCACGCCCCCTCCAAGCTTATGCCTGGTGGAGATAATGAACATACTGATGTCTGATGACATTTGGTGACAAGTCAGTTCCAGATCCCGTCCAGCCTTTATCCCCCACCCCAATTTCTCTCCCTGCTGTGCCACTGTTGCCTTTCTAATCCTCTTCCTCTCCTCTCATCACAGATATGATTTCTGCTGTTATTGCTATGACCAGGGTTAAGAGATAAAGTGCTTTGGATGCACTGTGATTTCTCTGCAATGTAACAGATAGAAAAAAAATGTGGATGTGTAGTTAGAGGTGAATGAATAAATATAAGGGGGCTGTTTCTCTTCATGGACCTGATGACAGCCGTACTTGGTTTGATTAACGATGATCCCTGAAGCGACAAATGAGTGACTGAGTGGGATGATTACACCAACTAACAACAGAGGATTTGTTGACCACAAAGTGAAAATCTAAGAGGAGGGCGTGTTGCAGCATTTCAGGCCTCCATCAGGATCTGTACAGTGCTTTTGCATGCCTAGGGTACAGTGGGTAATGGCACATTTTCAGCTTACTGTGTACAGTGTCATCAGGTGACAAATCACTCTACCCATGCTCAATATTTATGTTTTTTTTATCTGTGTACACATTACACACATCCATGTGCACAGGAGCCAACACAAGATGATAGATTGTTCAGTTAATATTATCATTAGCATATTATTATTAAGACATCAGAATAAAATGTAAATGATTAAATGGAATAAACAGGCTTTGGTGCACAGAAGCTACAATGGTGTGTTACAAGTGGAAAAGGAACATGAAAGGAAACTTTGTGCTAAACTGTTGTAGACAGACACAGGCCATGAAAATGTTTTTGTAGTCATTAACTAATCAAAACGCCTGGCATGTCAAAAACTGGGAGGAACAAACACATACGCAACTAACACAAGACAGAGACTCATTGATTGTGTCCACTGTAATTACAGTGGCAAGGCAATTAATCTTTTTTAAATAATTTCTTTCCCAATTTGTTTTTGCCACTACAAACATCTACCAACTGCATTGGACAGGCAACTTTGAAAGGAACATAAAAATACATTTTCATAAAATTAAAAAACACGTCATTGGACAAACTGAGTCACACCACTACAGTGACATTCCTGATTGTCCACATGCAAGGGAAAGATCACTGCACCCTCTTGCCCAGTCCCAGCATGCTTTGTGCTATCCAACAAGATGTTCTTTCTGGTAGTGCATGTTGACAGTCCCCCAGACTGCTAATGTTTACCCACAAACACACACTGCATCAAAGGTCGCTGTTTGACGTTTAACATAGAGAATGGACTAGGGAGGATGAGGGATGGGGTGAGCAGAGTGGGCTGGGCAGGGGAACCTAAATTGTGCCCTCCAAAACCCCTTCCGACTTAATATAGATTAATGTGGAAGTATTTTCCAGTGGAAAGCTTTGGACTGATGCCCTTTCCTTTCCTTTGATATTCCCTTTCATATTCTGAGTTTCCTATAAATTCAAAGGATCAACATTAGCTGACCAGATCAGGCTGAGTTGAGAGAAGAGAAACACAGAGATATGTCTGCTTGTTGAGTCCACAGGGAGGCAGACTTGGAGGGAATCAGGGATGCAGCGTCTGCACCATGACCCTAATCTCTGTCCATTATGCACATTACCCTACATCACTTGCAAAGCATGCAGGATTGGTGTGTGTGGGTGTGTGTGGATGGGGGGTAGGGATGGTAAACACAGCCATGTGCTTTCTCTGTGTTGTTGCAAACACACACAACTTTGCTCATGACTAAATGTGAAGAGTCATCAACTTAAAAATGTTATTCTTGGAGGATTTCAAAAAGATACTAGCAGAACATAACGTCAGACGTACTGAAAAAATGCTAGGGATGCCGTTGGTAAACAAGAAAGGAAATAATATGATGGCAAATGCTTTCTTGAAAAATTCTGGTGTCAGAGCTTGAGGGCTTGAAAGATTGGAAGGTCTTATACAGGGTCTATGAGTAAGTTGTACTAACTTTAATTTTCTTAGAACTGAGGAAAAATCTGTCAGTGAAGTGAAAACTTTACTGATGTCCCAATTTTATTCAAGTGGCTTTCAGGCTTGCCTTGGACAATACACAGAACCCACTGAGAACAGTTTTCAGAGGTTGGTAGAAATCTGCTCACAGTGAGTCAATGGATTATCCTGGAATTTTTAGGGCATTTTTCAACCCATTGTGCACCACAAACAAAATTCCTTTTGTCTTCAATGAACTTGATGAAGATGCATGCCACAAATGTCTCAAAACTTGTCTAAATAAAACCAAGACAATCTGCATGGCTAATTACCATTATGGTAAGTAAGAATGAGCTTTTTGTTGCAATATGGGTAACTTCTTTTTATGGTAGAGCTTGCAGACATTTAAATGGAAGCACTCAGTCCATCAAAGAGCAATCGCACATAAATATCTACAAACATGTAACAGCACTGATGTAAACAACCTATCAAACAGATAGAGCTGTCCATTAAAGTTGACCTTTTAGATGCCAACTGTGGGGGAGCTTTGGGCAACATAGTTGTGCAAGCTGTCTCCATAGTAACAAGGCCCCAGCAGTTTAGTCAATAGTGGTTTTTGGGGTTTAAATGCCATCAGAAAGAACAGTAAGGAGTTACCGGTTGTGTAACAAGTTCTGAAGAATGGGACAGTCATTGCAACTCATTAGCAAAGACGGACTTGTGGGCGACAGTAATTGCTGTGGGAGGGGAAGGGAATGAAATAAGTGTCGTTAACCGAGGGGAAGGGAATGAAATAAGTGTCGTTAACCGTTACCCCTGCCCACCCACACATCCCAGGAGACTCTCATCAGCCTCGGGTAGATGCTATCTGCTTTTAAACACACATAAGCACATCCTTCCCTGAACGCCCTTCGGTTTCCCATACTCCCCTTCAGCGCAATTGTTGCTTTGTTGTAACAATCAACGTTCATCACCCTGCATACACATACATACAAACAACCAATTCCTCAAAATAGAATTTCATCAACAACCAACCTAAGGCTTTATATTTTTTATGATCTTGAAACATTTACATGATGTAGGCGTTTGAATAAACTGGTGACACAAACAGAAGTACCAAGCTGACACAGAAGCTTAAGCACACACAACCTATCGGAAGGTAAAGGCCAGGGTCGGCCTGGAGGAGAGCTAAATATAGCTGATCACTGTTTGACCATAAGGTGATTGAGCAATAAGGTCCTCCCCAAAACAGAGGGAAGCGAGAGATATTTTTTATTTTTTTTTAAATGAAGGAGAAACTCACATATGGTAGATTGACATCCTGTGGTTTCTTGGAAGAGACGATAGGTATCAGAACAGGATGACAGAGCATGAGAGATAGAGAAAATAAGAGGGGGAGGAGGAGAGTATGTATGCTTAAATGTGAGTGGAAATCTCGTGAAGCATTGTGAAACATTTCCATTTTAGTAAGTTATTTAGTCTCAGTCTCAATTCACTATCAGTGTCTTGCATGAGAAATCGCTTTAAAGCTGGTAGTGTAAGGCAAGAAAATCACCCTTTCCCACACTATCTACAAACAAACTTGTTACGGTATGAGAGTACATGATGATGAGTCAAGGGAAAGATGGAGCATGGTTGCAGGTCACTCTAGTTCATTAAAAGCCTCTTTTATGCAAGCTGTGAAACAAGGACAGTTCCCTCAGTAACTGACCCCAGACAGGTTAACCCAGTGATTAGGTTGTTTCTCTCTCTGCTTTCCTTCATATAGCACATTTCTTGCTTTTCCACCCTATCTCTCCTAGAGATCTCAGGAGGGATGAGCCATTGGCCTCGATCTACCTCGGTACTAAACGGTTCCTGCTTTGGCCCAATTTCCCCTGCTCTAAAATAAGAGCACATTTGAGCTAAAATGAAATACCAGAGTTGTCTTGTCAAAATGAGCTTGAACATTTCACAGAATGATACAGGCCACGCAAACAGACTCAAGAAGAACGTTCAGATGACAGAGGTCACTCACACACAGAGAGAGTGTCAAGCAGCCAAAGATGGAAAAATTATTAACAGTGGCAGTGACAAAATGTCAAGGGCTTGTTGTTGCTGTTGAGTTACAAAAGAGTGAAATGGCGTAATATGCAACATAATGACTTTCATGTTAATGTTACATTGTTGAGCAGATCACGATGAGATAAGACAGCTAGGCTCTAATCTCATGAGGAAACAGAGAGAGGGAAATGTCATCATGATTTCTCAAACATGTGGCATACAGACCCAGAAAACCCAGTTTTGCATGAGGAACTTGTCAAAAATTACAGAAAACAGAGAGAAGGGTGATGTAGAGTGAAGGTGTTCCAATGAAGAGACTTTTGGCTAGAAATGGTACAGCATTTAATAGCTCCATTAAACAATGCAACCCCTCGCTTGATTGTCTGGTTGGAAGGCAGAGGGTAAATTAGTCAACAAGTGCTGCACTGCTCACCATCTCCACTTGCCGAGGGTCCAGGTTAGTTGGTGCGGAGGCCGGCACAGCAAACTGGATCTTCCTTCTCTCCTTGGGCTCCCCATCGACCTCGGTCGACACAGAGGGATCCATGGCTCTGGATCCTGGGGGTCTGACTCCCAGCGGAAAGGAGAGACCGCTGCCAATAATCACTATAACCTCCCTGGAGGAACCTCCCACTGCTGGGTAGTCCCACTCCTGAAGACTTGTCTTCTCTCTCCTGCCTCACTCCCTCAGACCTTGGCTCCCTTCTTCTCTTAGAAAAACAACAAACTGAAAAGGCTCTCTTTTTTTACCTCCTGTCCTCTTTCCCTCTCCAGCAGTTGCTAATATTCTGCTCTACCTCTCTTGTTTTCCCTCTTTCACTCTTTCTCCCCTCCCTAACAACCTGTGCAGCTAGAGTGAATGAGGCAAGTCCTTAGATCTGGCTGTAAGGGAGAGAAGCGGGTGGGTAGAGGGTGGAGGGGAGGGGCCAAGGTCCAAAAGAAGGTGGAGATATTGGGAGAGAGAGGAGGAGCCAGAGCAAATAGGGGAGGAGAGCAAAGAGGATGTAACAGTGGTTGGGTGGGGGGGGGTAACTGTGTTTTTTCTATCTATCTAAGCTGAAGTTGATTTGTAATCAGAAAAAAAATAATCTCATCACATCAGCTGAGCCTCTTTTGGCCTCTATTTGTGAATGAGAGATTTATGCTGAGAGAGGGAGGGAGCAGGGAGTGCAAGGAGGGATAAACAAGAAGAGAAATGTGTGGAGTATGCAGAGGGGAATGTACATGGGCATCCAGCAGCTACGTCCCCGCTACTGACATCACTAGATTTATTAGGCTGGGTGGTGTTATACATAATGCTACAACCAATTATTTTCAATGGAAGCCCCATCACAGTTACGGTGAAATGCTCAGGCTTCCATCCTGTAGAGCTTCATCAATATCTGACATATCCCATTAAGATGTTTATTAACATTAATTGTAATATAATAATGGAATAACAAACAAGAACCTTGATGACATTGGAATCTTTGAATGAAAATACAGATGGACAATGGTGGACGTAGATGGGGAAGGAGAGAGGAGGCAGATTGTTGATGGCAATATAAAGGGAATAGAGTGAGAGGGGCAGTTCCAGTGCTATTTTCAGGGCCTTGCTGTTATTTCACTCACATGGCAGAGGGATTTGGACAGTGAAGAGAAGTGGATTTGGCCTCAGGGCAGAGTTGAGCTTTGGCATGGGCTGAGGAGGAGAAGGAGGAGGAGGAGGAGGAGGAAGAGTGAGGTGGCTGGAGGGGCTTGGTGGGCAGAACAGAGAACAAGGTCAAGGTGTATATAGTGTTCTGGGAGCGCAACTGTTGTCTACAGAATCAGAAACTCATTAAACAGTCAACTGAGTGTTTATCCCGCCGGTCAGAGCAAGCTAAACATGCCAGCATGTTATTTATTCACTGTTTCCGTGCGGGGGGTGGACGAGGGGGGTGGTTTTTTAAATGGTTTGTCTGGGTGTTTGACTCTGCTACAAAGCCACTCCTGTCTAAAGCAAAGCAACACCTCCACATGCCTGGAGGTGGAAACTCATTATTGCATCTCTTCATATACATGAAGTCTGAAACGTTGTTGTTTAGGTTTATGAAAATATTGACAAGCTAGACAAAATGCAGACTGTCTAAGTAGTTTCTGAAGAAATGTAATCTTTTTCAGTCACCCGATCCCATTTGATTTTGTTCCAGTGTTGTTGCATAACTTAAGCAGGAATTGTGCAATATTTCATGAGCAATGTTTAATAGGCTCTGTTTGAGAGTCCGGCTCACAACAAGCCACAGAACTCCAGCATTTAATGAAACCAGTGATTGAGTAATTGTCAAATAATGAACTACTAAACTGAGAAACCTTTTTTAATTAAAGCCTGGGCAATCAGGGAGTGAGGGGCAGTTTTTTTTATGAGCCAGAAAGGCCTCATTGATGGTGTTTTGTCTAAGGAGGATGTAATAGGCTGGTGCACCCAGGTGCCTATGTTCTCCCTATAAACAAATAAGATACAGATTCAAGGTAATGTAACCAGGCTCAATAGCTTCTATGGACAGAGGCAAAAAGACAAGATGAGAGAAGCCACCGGACAAGAGTAAATGTCGGACTGACTTTCAGTTGTAGGGAAGTTGGGTAGTCCACAATTGCAAATATGATATATATGAGGCTAAAACTAAACCTAGTATCACTATTTGGTGTGGTCAAAAGTATGCTCTGTTGCACTTGTAACCACACCTACAGTGATGTCACAATGCACCAGAGTATACTTGTACATCACTGCAGCAAGAACTTAAACATGATCGAAGTAATCCTTTGTGCCAGACTTCCTTTCCAAATATATTTTCAACAATTTTATTGGCATACACTGACCAGTATAATGCTTCTGTGTCGGCCCATGAAAAGTTTCCACATTTGGATGATTAAGCTGCTCTATTCTATTCAACTTTGTTTGCATCACTGTAAAGCAGGAGTTTGCTGCACAGCCCCAATGAGCAAACCTGGGAGGACAAGCCAAGATAAAACTGGAAAGAACATGAAAATAGTCAAACACAGACTAAACAAGCAAGTGCAAGGCTGGCACAGTAAACATAAATAAGACGATCAGCTGTCATCTGAGACTCAAATAAAAGATAAGGCACTTAATCTCCAAAAATAATCACAGCTCTCTGGCAAAATAAAATGCTTCTTTCAGCCTCTGTTTGTCTATTTAGAAAGGAAAGTAACTGCAGATAAACACCAAGATGTTTATTAAGAAAAAATTATCAATCAAGTAAATTAACAACATGTTTACAAAAAAATTAAAATCCAATCAGTGACCTAATTACAACTGGTCAGACAAGAGGGTGCTTCCATGGTACATAAACCTCAGGGACTTGTAAGCTATGTGCTGCACTACACACAGGAACACAATAGTTAACTTAAAGAAAGTTTGATGTGATTTGTCAAAAAGGATATTAGCACATGTGGAATACTTACAGTTACACAGTAAGAGACTATAACCATTTTGGTATTTTACTATAGGTTGACTGAGAACAGAGAAACCATGCTAAATAATACTGTCTGGATTAGTACACCAGCAAATCTGATTTAGGGCACCAGTAAATCAGATTTTAATTTTTTTAATTCAGGCAACCACTCTGTTCTTGGGCAAATGCAACAATTTTCTTTATTCCTGGTTAAATGTGAAGCTCTTTGGCTTTGTGTAATATGAAGAAAGTAAACACTTTAACAAACACCAATATGTCAAAGCAGTAAATAATGAAAATGTATACAGTGTTGCACTACAGACACAACCACCCTCCCCCTCTGCTGTATGGATTACTAGAGAGACAAATTGTCAGGTAAGCTTTCAAATCTATGAACACAGAAGTGTCAGAGCAGCCAGGCATTGTAAAATCCTTGGGCAGTCTGTCATATTAACAAAATTACTCCACACTGCTGACACACTGACAAGTAGAACAAAATGCTCTAATTGGAAACCACACTAATTTGCACATAAATGGATTAACAAAGGAAATCACCAGTATTTTATGTGTGTACCTCAGAGGATGTTGATATTTCCAGTGTCCTGATGCTGTGCCACTTTAATGCATTTGTTATCATTTGATCTGTTATTTGTATATTGTTATGTAACACCTGTTTGCCTCTCTACAGTGTGGTTTTGAATACCCCTGGGGGTGTCTCTATTTGTTTGTACCTCTAATTAAACCTCATGTCACTTGCTCTACCCGTGATGCTGCTATGTATATTTACAGACATTGGCTAAACCCATCTATATGCGGGCTCATACATGCTTCTATTTTTATTACACTTCACTGTGTTTATACATTTTGTGTCGGGGATGTCATTAAATCACTGACAGAACCTGGCAGAACCAGAGGAAAAACCCCTGGAAGACAGATCACACTTACAGGCTGGGAACACCAAGCATGATAATAACTCCAGCAGCAAGCAGGGACATGCTGTACAAAATGTGTGACATGTGCACTGTGCACTGTGCACTGTAACACACACACACACACACACACACACACACACACACACACACACACTGGAGACACTCCAAGCCAGCTCCAAAGACAGATTAGGAGAAAGTGTGTAATTCTATCTCTGATACAGGGCATCTTGTACCATGTGACAGTCAGTGGAGCAAGAGCTGACAAAAACCTCCCTGTTATGAAAGTAATTGACAGGCCCCTCAGCCCCCCTACAGACGAGACCTGATCTGCTACAAAGGCCAAATGCATTCTGGGTGTGCATTCCGAATGAATTAAGAAGAAAAAAACAACTGAACAAGAAACAGAGGGAGACAAAAATCGTTATTAGAGTCCATTCAAAAAATACTCTCTTTCATTCTACCTGCCAGGTGCTCTATAGCAGTAATAAGCTGATACCTTCACAGGGGATTTCAGGGACAAACATCACTGTAAAAGGTGAGATATTCCATTAATCAGGATCACAGAGAGGCTTTGTAACGTCATAGCAGGTGTCCTGGTAATTTTGTTGAGGGGAACAGAGAGGCACTGCCTGTCAGTCAACACCTCACTTGACTCTGAACTCATCCCCCTCCATCCAGTTATATAACATACACATCGCACAATACACAGGTACTGCTCACAGAAACAGTCATTGTCACATACACTTGGGAAAGCTGCACTGCCAGAACCAGGTGGTTGTGCTGCAATGTGTTGGTGATGAAGGATGCGAAGGCACCATCTGCTGTCCTGTTAGTGTAATTACAATTTAGAATGAACTGTTATTGATTATTTTTTTCTCTTTGCCCCCATCCAGAGGTGACAGTTCAGTTCTTTGATTCATATAGATGTACACCTTTTCTTGTTTGATTGATTCTTTTATGCTTATACTTTTTTTATTAAGACAATCAAGAACTATGTAACCCAGTGCTATAGAGTTTTACATACTATTTCAGAAGGGTGGATGTTTCTTGAAGCCAGGTTGTCGGATTGACGGAGGGTTCCCTCTGTGGAAGACCTGGCCCAAAATGAGGCACTTAGCACTGTACATGAAAATATGACAAAGGAACAGAAAGGGGATTACCTCCTCAGCTTGTTATCATTGCAGCGTCAGACAGCAGGGAACCAGTATCCATCTGGAATGTGTTGGGACAACACAGAGCATGATGGGATAATCCCTGAGAATTCAGAAAGAGAATCACAGGAATAAAGAGATAATGGATATAAGAAAAGAGACCAAGAGACAGGAGAGAATAATCTAGAATAGGCTGTCAGGAGGTATTTTTTGGTGGTCTTTTAGGTAAAAGAGGGCTGCCTGGAAAAAACCTGCAGAGTGTAAATTACTATATACCTACTGTCTTACAGTAAAGGCAAAATTGTATAATACTGACTTTATCACCAAAGTTTCTGCTTTTCTTCTTTAGGGCACAAGAAAAAATATATTACATATTATATATATTATATTATAACACTTTACTTTTCAACAATTCCTTTACTTGGTGTATATATATATATATTTAAAACTTTTTTATAGTGTGTAACAGGCAATACACTGAGCTTATACCTGTTGAATGGCTGTATGGAAATGGTAATGGTGATAATTATAAATAAATTCCAGTAGATGGCAGCCTTCTATTGCATTTGGCTTTTAGACTCATCCCCTGTTGACTGCAAAGAGCTTTCCAAATGGGGGTTAAAATTGAAACCGAGGTGCTCATTTAGGATAAAAACTCATTTAAAATGTGTCACCACTGACATTGAATAGATGTACCAATCACTATAAAGTGGCAGGACGCAAACCAACATACTATGGATACAGAGAGAAAATCTCTTGATAAATTACTGGGACCCAAGAAGGAATCGATGTGACATTACTAAAAGGGGATTGAAGGATGGGAGACTTTTTAAACTTTGATTTGGAGATTTCAGTGAGGTAGACCTGTGTGCAAAATAAACAGCACCTAGAAAAACTAAATATAGACATGACAAATGACAACAGAGGTATGAGTGTTTGTGCGAGGGACAATATATGAGTGTATATGTGTGGGTGGGTATAAAGAGTAAAGTGGAGTGGGGTGTTGGAGATGTAGCAGGTGGAAGACATGGTGAAGGCAGAGACAGAGGAGGACGTGGCAGTAGGGCAGTGATTTAATTAGCACCCTCTACCCCCTCCAGCCCTTCACTCATAGCATCAATAATGCATGGCCCCTTGTTTCCACTGCCATAATTAATCCTCTCTTACTATAATTAAAAGCCAAAAATCCCACAAGATGGTTCAGCTTGGCCAGGCACGGGTTGGGTTGGCACGGGAACTGATGAAAAACTCCAGAGCTTCACACACACACCCTGTGGACCGACAGACAGACAGACATGTTGACAGAGAGATCAATAGTCAACCCAACTCCAATACAAGCAGAGTGAATGAGGCATGAAGGGAAGCTGAAATACGTGGAAAATGTGACATGCAGGCAAATTAAATGAATGAATTTGACAGACTGACAACATGAACCATTTCTTGAAAATGTGCTTTTGTGCATCGTATTTGTGAATGAGTGAGAAAGTGAGGGAAGACCGAGCCAAGCACAAATCTACCAACCTCAGTTCTACTCCTTTGAAGGGAAGACGGTGCACACACACACACACACACACACACACACACACACACACACACACACACGCACCTACACACAAATACTTACACAGGCATCCTGCTCCCAGATGAGGTTTGTCTCCACTGCAGCCAAGCCAGACGAGAGGGAGAGGTGGAGCTTTCTGATGCTGCAATTAGGACCACACTGTCTGGGCGAGCAAACAAGAATGAATATTTCAGTCCGGAGATCTCCATGGGTACCTTTGGTGGGGGCCTGGCACACCTACAGGCACACACACACACACACACACACACACACACACACACACACACACACACATACAGACACCCACACACACATCCACTGATACACAACTTACCACGGCTGCCAGAATTATTCACCTCCCAATCACAGATGCCACAATTATCACATCAGTATCACTGCGTAAACGATGCCAACTGTTATGCTCATTGAACTATTGTACAAGGTGTACAATATCAGTATAAGTATGCATCAGTAGGAGCAGTCATAGTATGTAGCTGATGGTTTCTCCTTTGTGAAAGTAGGTGCAATGAGCATACAAGCTTGGCCACATGCCAGGAAATAAACCAGTTGATAGAGCAGAGGTCATATCTCACATGCAACCTATATTTCTTCTTCTCTCTCTCTGGCTTTCTTACTTCCTGAGACAGAGTACTCACCTCGCTCACCTCAGCTCTTCGGGCTTCTCAGCATTTTTAAATGGTGCTTCACTTAAGAGTGCACATCCTCTTCACAGCACACCCCCAGTTACACACAGGACTTGTACAATAGGAGCACTCCCTCTGGTGTGGGTTCATTGTCGATGCTCCGTGCAGCCCTCCTCCTGCCCCGCCGTCCTCGGCCCCATCTCCACTTGATTTATCGCTCTAAAATACCACTGCACTAATTAGTCAAGTAATTAATTAATAGGCATTTGCATTTGTGCATATGCAATTAGGGGGCTGGAGAGAGGAGAGTGCAGATGGGGTCCGGGAGTCTGGTGGGGGTGGGAGGATGTGTGTGTGTGTGTGTGTGTGTGTGTGTGTGTGTGTGTGTGTGTGTGTGTGTGTGTGTGTGTGTGCGCGCGCTGTATTTCATATTTGTGGCAGTAGAAGTTTGCACTCCTTCCAGAAAGACAAGTGAAGTGCAGGTCATCACCTCACATGTCTGACAGTGAGAAAGGGAGGACAGGAGGGGGAAGATGACAAAGGTATGGAGGTGTGGCTTGATGACTTTGAAAGGCTATTGGGTGTCGTTTGACCATAGAGGGAAAAGAGTGATGGAGAATCTGATATCTTAAAGGGAAAGGGCTTCAATTTAGCATTTTGATTACATGCATTTAGCCCATGAAAAAGCACAGCAGGTGGCCCTTACTTAAGACTAATCCGCATACAAACAGGAGGCAAAGTCATTCTAAAATATCATAATTCCAAACAAGCTCTCCTCTGGCGTTTCAATATCAGATCAAAGCCTCCCTGATTGGAGTCGCCGCTTGCCCAGCACTGGCTAAAGCCACTCTGTTGACATTTAGCATTTATTTTGGCAAGGTGACCTGAAGGTTGTTTGGGACTTGTTGAGAAGCATCAGCCCCCCTCCCATGGCCGCAGCCCTTGCATCTCCCCCCTCCACAGCGCAGCTGAGGTAGGATAGGGCACCGATTTGGCTGGTGGTAAAGCTCAATGCCCCTCTACTCCCCCTCTACATACACACAAACACACACACTGTCACAATCACCCCACCATTGTTTGGGGTAGTGCCAGGTTACCATCCCCTCATCCCTTATGGGATGAGACACATTAGTGAATGTGCGGCATCACGGCTCCCTAGCCACAGCTGCCACACTACTGGTGACCCCAGGGATGACCCTGCAACCCCCCAAACACTCCCTTAGTTGTGGCAGAGGAGGAGATGTAGGGGTGATCCAGGCCCAAGGACATGATGAGTTTCTATCAGCTATTTCTCAGCCTCCATGTCCCTGTTCCCTCAGTCCTGTGGGTGTCTTTGTGCCAAGTTGGACTTGGTGGTCATCAAGCTCATTTCTCCCACATTAACTCCACTAATGTCTGCTAAATTGAGAGATCTCGAAACTGGGATGGACACAATACAGCAAAGCAGGCATACTGAAGGGACCAGGATACTGATGGCAAGGAATTTTTTCATCTTCGCCACTGATGTGCCAATATGCCTCCTCCTAAATCTTGGGCACCTCTGCCAGCTCCTACCAGCACCAATTCCCTGTCATCTACAGCGACACCCCCCTTCCTCCTCATTTTTTATACATCCCTAGTGGGCCTGCACACCTGGGTCTCTCTCTCTCTCTCTCCCTCTCCCTCTCACCCTTCCTCTCACTGTGTTTTTATGTCTCTTTCCCTCTCTCTCTGATGCTCGCCCCTGCAGGGGCCCCTCACTCCACATTGAAGGCTGGAGACACCAGCAGTAGCTCTGGCAAACCTCACATGTGCAGACATAGCTACCAGTAAACATTTGATCTTCACACTTAACCACATGAGCACCAGTTTACATACACACAAACACAGTGCGTGCAGCAGAAGCCTATGTAATATTATACCTTTTAATCTGACTCATTTTCAGCATTGGCAAGTGGGTCATCCGCGCCAAGCTTGTGCCCAAAAGAGTCAGAACAAATCACAATTGGTTTTGGTTGTCGTTCCTCTGAATACGTTGATGCATAATTTGATCCAATTAGGTAAATAAATAAACAATATGCCTTCTGTTCCACCGCCTTAATGCACTTATAATGCATCCCCATCCCCCTACCCCCGCCCTGCTTCTGAACCAGAGATGTGACGGAGGGTAAACCCTGCAACTAAAACTGGTTTACCCACCTTTCATTTGCTGAAGAGTTATTTGATGTAATCTTATAATAGACTCCATACAGTCATTTTTGTATTCTCTTCTTAAACAGATAATTTGTAAATGATAATAGAGTCTTTTAAAGAGGGCAACTGATTAATTGCTTGTGTAGATATGATTTTAAAGCAGAACTTATTTGGCTTGGGGTCATATTCTATTTACTGTTTTGTCACTTAATGCATATAACAGTGTAATATGACTGAGACTTATCTTGAAATCAACATATATGTTGATCATAGTTTACCTCTTATAATCTTTCTTATGGTGACTGCTGGGATATTTGTGCAGGCAGGTCTCCTCTAAATTGCATTAAACATTGACTAGTGAGTTTGGCAGTTCAATGAGAACATTCACAGGTTTGATTAAAAAAGATAGCCTACATCCCTTGAAGCAGCAGCACAGGTCAACAATGATGAGTTTTGTTGTTCCACCATTTTATTTTCTCCCTCTCTCTTCTGTTTTTCCTCCTTTTTTTCTGGCTGTGTGAGCTCTAGTGCGGTGACAGATGGCGAAGCCCTCCTCCTCCTCCTCCACCTCCTACCTCCTCCTCCTCCTTCTCTCTCTCTCTTCTTCTCTCTCTCTCTCTGTCTCTCTCCCCCCGCGGGCAAATCTCTCCGAATGCGGGCGCATGTCAATCAAGGGGCTCTCATGTGATGGCTCTTGCCGGTGACGTGCCAGCCATATGGGCGCTGGCATCACAGCCTTAGCTGGTATGTAACCCCGTCCCCGGTAGCTCACGGTTGCCACACACACACACACACACACACACACACACACACACACACACACACATACACATACATGCATACATGCTCACTTACTCACTCACACATATACGCACAGACACGCCAAGACGCACGTCCGTTCACAAGCTCCAGTTATTCGAGTGCGCGCACTGGGAGAGGAGCACCCCTAAACAGCCCGTCAGCGCCAGTGAAAGAGAGCCGCGCGCTGCCTGCACCTATACACTGACAGGGAGCGTTGGTTCGCTCACTCGTGCGGTCCCTGAAGATGGTCTGAAACTCAAGCGTTTTTTTTTTTTCCTCCCATCCCTTGTGAAGAGCTCGAGCAGAGGTAAGTTGGAACATAAACAACACTAACGAAAATATATAAATAAATCCTGGATGCTGAAGTGCCCGTCCAAAATGGAGGAGAAAATTAATCTGATAAAAAGATAAACAGATGTAGGCTGTGTTAATGCAAGGTGTTCATCTGTGTTTTATGTAGTTATAATGTAGGTTACTGTCAATCGTCTGCTTTGGTGACTTAAAGCACCTTTATCGTTTACAGTTTGTAAGATAAAAGGCTAATCTACTGGCATGAATCCATATGGAAATCTAATGTATATTCGCCTTGTCTGTGACTTTGCTGTGGTATGTACCTATCGATCCACAGTATGTAGCCTAGTCTGTTTAAATCTGGTGACGGCACACTTTGAAATCCATTCTAACAATAATAATAATACTAATAATAATAATCATAAATGGATATAGAAGGCATTTCCATGTTTGTCTTTTTATTAGCGCACTTGCACAAATAGTACCTCCTCAGTCCCCCGCTCTCCCTCTGCGTGCCCTTCAACTTTTGACATCCAAATCTACCTGGATTATAAGAGCTAAGATCAAATACCAAGCTCGGGTGAAAAGGCAAGAGTCTCCCGGTCCCGATTTCGCTCCTCCAGGATCATTTACAAGGAGAAGTCCTGAGGATTGGAATAGCCCCCCTACAGCAGCGCTGTAAATAGATCATATCGGACACTAATTTGATTTAGAGATTCCTGCGTCTGGACCTTGATTCAGAGAAAACAAAAGACAATGAGTATGAAAGATAAACATTTCTGTGGAAGATTTTGATCCCATCCCCGTTGTCTCAGTGAAGGACGTCCTCAAGCTTTATGGGAGATTTATTGATGATTTTGTCGATGATTTTCACGTTCAATCTCGGAGCAAATGAAAGGGTGGGACAACGCCATTGACTGTGACAGGCAGTGTGCAGCATGATTTATCTCTGTTTGTCTAGTTTTATCTTCAACAATCTATCTCGACTAAACATTGTTTAAACCACAGTCCTTGCTGTTACAGTGGAGCTAATGCAGGGTTTGCGAGATTGGATAATTGTGTTTCGCGAGTTGTGTTTTTATATTTAACGAGGGCTAAAGGGATACAAGCGATTTCCATCTGTAAAGGGTTATCGCTGACTAAAAGTGCTTTGAAATCAAGCACTCGTGCATACTGAATTATGTGTGAAATCTATTTCGTGTAAGCTTCATGGTCTGTTAATTAAACGTTGTTGTGTTTTTTTCTTCTAATTGAGCAAACCTCCTGAGCCTGAGATTTAAAAACTAGATTTTGCCCCTGGCACACCCCCCGAGATAATTAACCAACCATCACAGCCTACCTTACCTTGGGCTGCAAGTCTATCTGCTGCTGCACTATAATAATAGATGGGAAGTGAAACATGTTAGGGAGTAAGCCAATGGAGGCTTATTGAAGCTGTCAAAGATCACCTCGTCTCTCTGTAGCCCTTTTTTCTGGGATGGGACTGCACTTACTAATCAAGTGGTAGGCTGATCAATTTATTTTTGTTTTAAATGTATTAATTAACATGTTTTCTTTATAGTTAATTGTTAAATACGTAATTGGTTAATAATATTCAATTGTGGTTCGTTATAGCTGAGCCTATAATGATTTGATTGATGATATTTTTCGAAATATCTTGCAAGCATTTTTCGCCAAAACACATTAAGATTATAATAATAATAGTTAATATTATTATAGCTGCGATAACATAAATAAAAGTTTTTGGTTTTATGTATTGTTTTTTTTTTTTTTCCAAGGTGTTAATCATGACTGTAGACAATCTTTCCTTTTAGTTCTTGTTTGTAGGCCGTGATATTAAAATTGGTTTTCGAAGCTTTTTTGCAGCTTGAGTCAGGATGTCTGTAAGCCTTAATTTAATAATCAGTGTGACTTTAAACGGAACTACAGCCTATCAATTAAATAAAATCCCCCTTGCCTTCTCTGAGGAGAGGTGTATGGTGTGGATGAATAGTGCTGGAATGCAGCCAGGAGTGTATATGGGCGTCAGGAGGAGTGAAAGTGGGGGCCCCCATGGGACCTGTAATGTGGCCCCTGCCGCTGGGACCCGCTGCGAAAGGACGCGACAGGGCACACGGATGACAGCAGGGAATTAAATGGGGATCCGTCTGGCTGTAACCCAGCGCAAAGCTTTGAGAGCTGATTTGTCTCCCATTTTTATTTCCCTCAAATTTTACACTATTTGTCCTTCAGGCAAAGAATAACAACTCAGGTATATTTTATAACAAAAAGTCACTATCTTGAGCAAGAGTGTTGGTAACCTTACACTCTGAAATCAATATATTTTCTATGAACATTCGTATTATGGAAGTATATTTTATATTCGGATGATTATGGTGACGTGCGCAATAGTGCGTTTAACCTCATACGACTGTTTTTGCTATTAAGTCATTATGATAGAATGTCTTCTTTTTGTACATCCATATAGACACTGTGTATGTGTCCTGCGCCTGTCAGGCCTCATTTTCGATTTCCCTTTATCTTTTCTCCAGAGCCACAATGTTGACGAGGCTTTTCAGTGACCCCTCACTACTCCCCGATGTGCAGAAATACTCCGGCTGGGCGGAGGACAGCGATGGCGAGAGTTCCAAGGTCAAAGATGAGGACCAGGACACCCAGGACGACATGGAGGGATCTGAACTGATAGGAGATAGCCGGACGCAGTCCGAGCACGGCGGGGACGATGACGAAGACGACGGGGTAGAGGAAGAGGATGATGGAGAGGATACAGAGGGGGACAGGCCCAAGAAAAGGGGCCCCAAGAAGCGCAAAATGACCCAAGCCCGGATCGAGCGCTCCAGGATGCGGCGGGTAAAGGCCAACGCACGGGAGCGGACCCGCATGCACGACCTGAACTCTGCGCTCGACAATCTGCGTAAAGTGGTTCCATGCTACTCCAAAACGCAAAAACTGTCCAAAATCGAGACGCTGCGGTTGGCCAAAAACTATATCTGGGCCCTGTCGGAGATACTGCGCTCTGGAAAAAGGCCAGACCTTGTGGCCTACGTCCAGACGCTGTGCAAGGGACTCTCCCAACCCACGACCAACCTGGTGGCGGGGTGCCTGCAGCTAAATTCCCGTAACTTCCTAACCGAGCAGCAGTGTCAGGATGGGGGGAGGTACGCGTCCGGCTCCTTCTCCATGCATTCCTACCCCTACCAGTGTGCGCGTCTCTCAAGCCCCCACTGCCAGCCGGGTTCGAACTCGCATCCGCTGAGGACGCACGGCTACTGCTCGACTTACGACTCTCTGTACGGTGGGAGCGGGTCCCCTGAGTATAACAGCCCCGAGTACGAGGGGCCCCTCAGCCCGCCCCTGTGCGTCAATGGCAACTTTTCCCTGAAGCACCAAGGCTCTGCCTCCCCCGAAAACGAGAAGGGATACCACTACTCTATGCATTACTCCGGCCTGCCTGGCTCAAGACCCACCGGGGCCCACAACCTGGTGTTTGGCTCCTCGGGGTCCCGGAGCGGCATTCACTCTGAAAACGTCCTGCCTTACCACGACATGCACTTACACCACGAACGGGCCCCCGTGTATGATGAACTGAACGCGTTTTTTCACAATTAAAATGAGAAACCTATCGTGCGTCCCCTTGCAATCAACAATCTATCCACGGCACACTTTTTGAAAAGCTTACCTGCCAGGATTTAGGCATTCTGGAGAGATGTTTCACTCGTTGTCATTAGTGTTTTCCTTTTTTTCTGTCTTAATTCTTTGTTTTGCTATAGTCAGGGATGTAGTGGAGGGTAATCTACCTAACCCACAATCTTCTTGTTGCGCAACAGAAGTTATCCAGCTTTTAAAGCTGAAATAAATCTCTAAAAGGAAATTTGATAATCATATCAAGACCTAAGGGAATTTCAAAATATTAATGTAAAGTGAGATTTGTGTTTGTATCGGTGATTGTTTGCATTTTGATGACTGGAAGTCAAAGTTTACCCACTTGTTTATTTACTACTTTACACTACATCACTGGCTACAGCTACACCTTGACATTGGCCGCGAATTTCTAATAATATGAAATTAGGAATAAATCAACGAACAAGCTAATGCAAATCACATCACGCCTGTACGTGTGACATTTAGGAGTTGTGGTTTTTGGAAATGATGAAATCTAAAGAAATGCAGAGGGAAATGCTGAACCGGTAACAAAAATGTGCAAGTTGGGTTGTTTTAGAAGAATCTGTTCTCCAGCAAATCAATCGTTTCGCATCTATGCAAAACCCAACGAGACCACAAAGAGAGGCAACAAGGCCCAGAAAGACACTGTATGTTCATCAGCACAGTGGCTGCACGCATGGGTGCGCGCAGACACACACTCACACACACACACACACACACACACACACACACACACACACACACACACACAGACAGACAGACAGACAGACAGACAGACAGACAGACACACACACACACACACACACACACACACACACACACACACACACACACACTTTGGAATTAACTAAATCTGACAATGGCTGGGCTGGCCAAAATGGTTTAACTTCTAAAACAATCATCAAAATACAATGAAATCAGACATTTTCTCATTTTCTTTTTTACTCGTATTTATTCTTCTAATTGAGCCATTGCACTGTATTTTGATTTCATATTCCATTTTGGTTCAATGTTTTCGTTTTGATTTGCAATGCTATGTTAAATAGATTTTTATTATTATTATTATTGTATTATTATTATTATTATTATTATTATTATTATTGCACGTATTTATTGTGTTGTTTTTTGTAATTAATGTTAATAGTCTATGGAAATGAAGGGATCCCATGTGTTGCTGAGCATTTTTTCATAAAATTCAAGTCTTTCAACTTTGTATTCAACCAACTGTGTGGTAAAATAAAATGATTATAAATGAATCTGTGCAACTTGATTGATTTATTTTTTTACTCCAATTGAGCAATCTTGGCATCCTTTAACATACAACATTAAATAACTCTAATGTGTATTTACTCCCCCCACTCAATAATTCGTTTTCCATTGAATTTAAATGGTTCATATATTTGTAATTGAAGTATATTGGAATAATTAAAAGATGCAGCTTCAGGATTTTAAGGAAAATATTCACTTGCACCAGACTTTTTTGTGTTATTGGATAAGATAAGGCTTACCGTGTCTGGTGCCACAACCTGCAGGAGTTCCTCACAGAGCCTCAGGGCCTTTATCTTATAAACTGAAACAGGAGGAAGAGGGCAGTGTTGCCATTCTCCGCCATGTAAACTGGTGCCAATGCGTCATTTGTGCTTGGCAAACAACTCAAATGTACAAAGCAGTCTTTAAAGATGTATGGGGTGATTTGAATTGCAGACCTTGGAGTGAAAACAGATTTGGTGTAAATTTTGATTCAGTGACTGGAGAATAAAGGCTGACTAGAGTTTGGACAAATGCAAACAGTGCAGGTTAACTGATGCCTACTGCATTCAAGGTCATAACGATAATAGGTCTGCTTCCTATTCTCTTGACCATTAAGAAAAGAGGTGAGGAAGACATTCGTTTCAGCACCGCGGAGAGCTCCTGCAGCTGCCGTTTGATTCAGCTTAAAAACTGAGCTGAGCCTAAAATTTAGTAAAAATCAAAATAACCCAAACATACTGTGGGCAATATGCAACAAATAGTATGCTTGTCATTCACATCGCAATGCTTTAAAAGCTGTGGGTCACATTGTGGGAGTTATTTTTATCCCATCATCTCCAGGACACACACGTTCTGCAGGTCTGTTGCTTTCACACCAGGTTTCCGTTAATGCATTGCTGACAGAGCCTTGACGACTATAAGAAGTCACACGAAGACATAAAAATAATAAAAACACACCTTTACTGTTTTTTTGATGCCTCATATATTCATTTCTTTCGATGCTGCACATATTCCCGAGATCAGTGCTAATTTAATAGTAGGCCTACTTGTTGAAAAAATCTTTATTTCTTAATCTTTTTTATTCTGTAAATAAAACAATGAACTTTGCGGCATTGACATTTTTAACACAACTGACAAAATGTAAATATTTGTTATTTTAAAAATGTCCTTTTTTATTTTCGTCGTTTGATTATGCATTAAACATCAGATATAAATTATGAAGTCAGTCTCTTAGTTTCATCTCTTGTAACTTTAAACACACATCTCATATTTATGTCATACATTTTAAAAATTGAGTCATATGGCATTATGAATACATAGATTTATTCATCATGGGCTGTTTAAATCAATTAAATCTGTATGCTGAATATATGTAAACATAACTAACTCACTACACAGGGAAGGTTAAATGAAAACTTTTCTTAGATATAGAAATATTAAATGTTATTTAAGAAAAAAGAAAAAAACTGTTGACCACACACACACACGAACACACACAGTGCAAGGGGCAGCCGTTACCACCCCGGCTGAGTTTGGAGCGCTGCCCCGGGACCCATATGTTCCCCAAAATGTCCTGGGTGCTCTCTGCTGTAAGGACACACACAGGCTTTGGGTGGCGAGTGATGGTGACCAATGTTAATACCATATTAATATGTCAATACCTGCAATATCTTTATTATTATTTTCAATATTATTTCAAATAAAAGCATGGCTGTGGGTTTCGGCATTCAATTAAATAAAAATGTAAGAACACACCAGAAGAGCATTTTTCTGGAGCAAATGACCAAACAAATAGTTAATAAGTATTATCATTAGTAGGCTGCTTCCACCAGCTTATTAATCTCTTTATGTATGCAGGTGTTTAAAAGTTTGGATGGTAAAGGAAGGTCATATTTAACAAAACGTCACTTCTTGTGTATGAGACATTCATTGATTGAAAATAGTTTAATTTACGAATTAGTTTAAGGTAAAAATGTTCAAGATAAAGTACATAACATATTTAACTAACATGTCAACATTTTTTGGACAGTTTTAAGAATATTTAATGACAAAATAAATGTCTGTAGCATGTTCTTGTGTTCTTGTACCGCTTACTTGCGCTGCTCATCCCTCTTAGAAAAAACGAAAGATTAAAAGTTAAATAAACTTATTTTTCTAGGACAACTTATTTTTTATTTATATATAAAATAAACGAATTTAGGAAGGTAGCACTTGTGTGTTTATGCTACGACAAATTGTGTTATTTGCACTTGACAAAAAAGACTTCATAATATAATATTTACATCTCTACAATATCACAAGCCTCGTCGCGGGAACTTAGTGCGTCAAATATTTTTAATAAATCTTATTTAGGGAATAACTTCTGATGTACTGGCAGTGTTTGTAGTTTGTTTTGTTTTTTCATTTTAATAAATGCCAGTCTTTAGGTTCAATATGAAACCACTACCTTAAATTACACAGAGTACATGTTCCATTTGGCAGGCGCTTCTACCTGTGAGCGCATTCATTTAGTAGAAGAGTCCCGGGAGGGAATCAAACCCGCAGTTCTGCAGTTCAGGCTGGTTTCAAAACGACCACTGAAGCACTGAACAAACCAAAGCCTTGTGTTACACTTTTTTGTTAGTTTTAAGCACCTACATTATGTTTGGCTTTGTCAGCAAAGAAAAAAAGTTACATGCATTTCTGCAGAAGCCAGCCCAAAAGTGAAGGCAGCGAGCAGTGGGAGAGGGCATCTATCAAAATACTTCCCGACCCCCCCACACACACACCACCACCTCCTCTTCCTCCACAGTCCGGAGAGAGTGAGAGAGAGAGGCTGGCAGGCTGGCGGAGGAGAGCCGTGCCAAGTCCCTTAATGTTCCCCAGCAGCAGCACCAGGAGCTCCGGAGAGGACAACCCAGTGTGTGCGCCAGTGTGCCAGTTCACCGGGCCAAAGTGGCACTGCTGGGAGGAGTCGATGTTTCTTTCCTAATTTTTGCAGCATCTGTTCATTATCCAGGACGTTTAAAAACGAGAGCGCTCATCCCGAGTAGGCTAACCCTTCGCCACACGCACGCACTCTCCCAAACACACACAGATACACAACAGTGAGGCATTTTTGTAAAGAGTTGGCCTATGAATATGCATATTGCCCTCTAATGTTATGTTGTACATGAGCTCATTGAAAGAAGGCTGTGTTGCATCCAGTCCTTTTATATGGTAACCTTGCAACAAATCAGACTATACACACAACCACACACACCTACAAACACGCATACAAGGACACACACTGAGGCCAAATTTGAACGGAAAAATGCCAGAATTTTGATTAAGTTTGAATAAAATTATATGAAAGCAGTCTGCAATTTTTTAAGCTTTGAAGGGGAAAAAAGTTCAGTAAAACGAGCAAATCAGTCCATTGGATAAACTCTTGTTTGCTAACATATCAGTCTTAATCCGTGCAATGAAAGCAACTTTGTAGTTACATAGGATTTCATAGCTAGCAGGCCTCTGCATGTACACGTGTGTGTGTGTGTGTGTGTGTGTGTGTGTGTGTGTGTGTGTGAGAGAGAGAGGGGGGGGACATGTCATCACATCGTAAGAGAGTGTCAAATAACTAAAACTTTAATTACAATTAGAGACAAAATGAGATTATATGTTGTTTAGTCGACAATAGCAAATATGAGGAATTCACAGGTGTTTTTTGCTAAATGACATCACGAGCTGAATGAGTTCAGTTAA